AATGTTTCGTCTATTTGCAGGAGACCAAAACAAAATATCAGATAAAGATCTCGAAGCACTGTTTCACGCTTTGAGACATTAGGTTGGATCCAAAGCAGGTTTCACAACGCTCACTAGGTGAGAAACGTTTATCTTTAACCACAACACACGCTGTTTACTCAACCAGCTCACTTTCTCTAGACCGTGTTTCTGTTTTGTTTTTACAGCTTCTATGAGAAGGTTGGTGTGAAAACTGTGAAAGCTTTGAAGAGGAATAATGAAGCCGTGACTCACGCCGCTGTCGACATACTGTGTGCTCTGATGCAGGTAAAGAGAGGGCTTTCCTTTAAGCGGCCAAAATGGTCAGACCGGTCATATTTAAATTTAAAATAGAGTATTTCGTTAAGAATATAGTTGCGAAATTTCCGAGCTAGACAGATGCAAGTAACGATATACTTGAACGCAGAGTTCTTGAAACACTCTAAAATACCAGTAATCTGTCTGTACCGAGATCAACAATAGGACCGGTCTGGCCGTTTTTTCCGTATAAAGGAAAGCGCCAACACTTTAACGATGAATTTCCTGGTAATATGTTGCCAAATCTGTCACTGTCATTAGTGTTACCCCTTTAACTTGCAATCCACATAAACTCAGCCAACTTTGAAATCTGAATGTTAACAGGATCCAATTTTATCGAAACCAATTCTGTTTTTTTATATAGCCAACGCACGATAACTATGACATTCGACAAGAACAGATAAACAAAAGCTCTTTGTTATCCTCTGAAAAATTCTAAGCAGTTTGTTGGAAATTCTCACGATAAATGTGGTAAGATGTGCGGTGTTGGTTGCCTATAATCTATGCTGAACCCTTGCATTTTATTTTTCCATCCCTCTTGTATGTATATAGCTTTGTTTTGGAAGAGAAATTCCCTTGCAAAACCCAGCAAGTGATTCGTAGCAACTGCCTTTCTAATTTGAACTACCTTTCTAACTAAACACAAGAAATAGATTAACCATGAAAACTTTTCTTCTATATTCGTTCTACTGGGGTTTTAGTTATAAGTGGATTGCTTGATTTTCTGACGTTTGCTCTGTGTCCTCCTTACAGGTTTGTTCTAGTTGCTTTGCAATATATTAAAATAATACGGGGGTGAAGTTGGACATTCATGTTAAACTAATAGTAAGGTGTGATTGCTTCCAATATTTGAATCAACTCATGTAGTCTGTTACAATAAATCGACTATTGCATATTCCTCTTAGTGAGCAACAGATGATGAACAGTTTGGGAAATTACTGGAGAAAGTTGCAGGTATGCTACAAAGAAATTTGAGGAGCTTTTCATTCAACTTGTCTTCTTGGTAGTTTATGGCTCTTTGACTGAGGTTGAGAGTTGATTAAATAGCCTTTCTCTCTTTACCTTTTTGGTGAAGTTTACCACGTCCACTAGCTTGACCCATGCATAGGAGCAACTCATGAAGTCTGTTATTTGTTTGTCTAGAAATGGGTCATTGCATTTATCGATTGTTCCAGGTAGGTTTACGACAAAACTAAATAATAGTACCAATTTTACCATTTCTTCGCTTGTGTATGTTTTACTATTGCCCGCTAATGGTTCTTACCAATCGTGGTTTTGAATTCGTTCCTCAACAATTTCAGCATCCGTCGACAACAATTGTGAAAGGTGCTGGCATGGTTCTGAAGGCGATAATCGAGGTACGTTTTATTCATTCATTCATCCATTGAGAATTTTCTGCCTTTGACGAACGTCATTTATAACGCTCTGCATTTTTTTAGCCGTGATGAATGTACATATTAGTTCAGTTGATATTTAAGAGGTTTTAAAGGGTCTTAATTTTGAGAGGTATTATACACACTTCAAATCAAGCCAGGAACAGATGACGGAAAAATGAGTGAACTATAGATCCTCCGGCAGGAATCGAACCTACGCTTTTGCGATGCCGGTGCAATGCTCTTGTCACTGAGGACGTACAGTTGACTCATTTTTCCATCAACTGTTCCCTGCTTGAATTTGAAGTGCGTATAATACCACTCGAAATTAAGACCCTTTAAAACCTCAAGAATATTCCTGCATCGTGTGAAGTGCCTAAAATCATCTGTTGATATTTAGTTAGAACTTCACTTTAGGAAGCTGATGAAGAAACCGCGGCAAAAATACAAGTTCTGGCGCTTGCCGAGGGCGCTCTACCAAAACGCTTACGCATGGCCATGTTTACGCAAAGCACTGATAGACGTTCGCTATTGAACAGGTGCGAATTAGTGTGATAAATTAACAAATTGTTGCAGAGGTATAGCCTCTATTCCATCCGCAGGACCTGAGTTGTATTTTAGCAACATTCTCAGATTCATCTTAAAACTTGTGATTTTATAATCCTCTATATACTAGCCATCTGTAAATAGTTCAATTGAGACTAACAAGCATACTCCATAAGTAATTTATAATCATTATTGTTGGCATAGCATCATCCAACAGCAATGGCATTACTTGCGAGAATAATGTTCGTATTAAAGTAGTTATAGTTTTTAATGTCTAAAATATACAAGAAAGTTTAAATGCGAGATTTCCTGTTCATAATTTTTGGTTCATAAACAATTATGTAATAAATTTGAATACGATTTTCACAGCCTGCTGGTTTGCTCTATTACCTTGAAAGCCCTGACGAAGTAAGAAATCTTTGAAAACTTTTTTGCGAGGGCCATTATTTACATAAACCCATTGAGGTGATTCTGACTAACCAATCGTATTCATGACTAAGTGATATCAACTGCTTTGGTAACTAAACTCCATCATTCATCCTTAAACTGTGCCAACTGCCCCACTGACGAAATAATTAAATGGTAATTCATTCAGAAGTGTAAAACCTTTTTGTAAAGAAACAATTTTGTTGGAAAGTTTTTATCTTTCCTTCAGCCACCAGAGACTGAAGAAGATCGTTTATCAATTCGTGACAATGTAAAGCTTGCAGAAGTACGTTTTAAATCAACAATCGTGTTCCAAAATTTCATAATGCATGCTTGCATGTACGTATAAGCCTGTTATTTCACGTGCTATACTTGTGTCTTAGAGCTCTGGAAAAACGAGGGAACGTTGAGGAATCAACTTGAAGGATATCTCTCGCATTGGAGGACAAAAATAGGATTCAAATCCAGGAAAGATGTGAGAATTTAAATCCAGTTTTTTTATTACAAGTAAGTGTTCATATTAAAAAATGGGAAAATGTTCTAGTCGTTTGAAAGATGAAAAAGCAATGATATTTAAGCGGATCTTTTTTACAGATTCAGTCAAGATCTGACAGCGTACAACCTGATTTGGAATTACAAGGTGAGTCTCGAAGTTAAGGTTAGTTTCCGTTGAAAATATAGGAAATGGAAATGTAATGGAGGATTTCCTGTCGCTATGAGTATAACAAGACAAATTCAATAGTCCTGACCTCTTTCTCTAAACTGTTCTCGTAAAAGAGTATGAAACAATTTCTTATGTTTTCAATGTGACAGACGCGAGAGGAACTTCTGGGGCACTCGAATCTGATTTGCACGCATTTGCAATGGAAAAAGATCTGAGTGGAAACTACGTTGTCTTTTGGAATCACCTTTAGTTTGAAGTCCTGTATGAATGTTTAGCTGATGAACTGAAATAGGTTAGTGATAAGCCTAACTGCTCTAGCTTTTTAACAGTTCTTCATAAAGCGTCCCCCCCTTATTCCTCGATAGGAATCAAACTCAGTAACGTATCTCTGCTATCAGGTGACTATTATTTGAGAGTCTTGTTGGAACAAAACGACGAGGAGACGCCGATAACAAATGTGTGAGTCCACGACATTTATCTATCAGGGTTTGCAAATATTCAAACTACTTTCCATGTGCTTTTCTGTCTGGCTTCCCCCTATTCTCTATATTGCTGCACAGTTCACGCAATGTTATTTGTCCTGCAGAATGTAGTAGAGAAGTATAGAATCATGGATGAAACCATTCAAGATTCGATCGACTTTTCTATTTTGTTTTCAGGCTCGAGTTGTCTAACGATCTGTATCACTGATTCCTATTGACAACTAAACCAACTATGAAAGCAATGTGCCTTCAGGTGAGGATGTCGTTTAGCGCGAATGTAGCCATGTGTAGCCTTCGAAGAATGAATTAAACAAATTGGAATATTTCATTCACAGGCGATGACTAAAGTTTATGGAAAATATCACGAAGAGATTGGAGCTTTTAATGACACCAAGCTAAGGATCATCTGTTATTGATCCAGTGTTACTGCAGGAGCCTGAACTAAACTAACTTTATTCATACTGTTTCGTATTTTTAGCATTTACATGAAAATGGCATCACTAACAGGGATTGGAAGGTAAGCACGCCCTAATTTATTTATCACTACTTCTTTATATCCTAAACTTTAACGACCATAATTTAACTTTTTCTTCTCTAGCCAGAAAATGTTTTATTGTGTTCCTCGTAGACGAAACGCTTAAAAGGTGTCGGTGTGTATTGAACTTGTGTTAAATTGCCCTTTAAATTGTATTTGAAGAAACCATTCGATGTGACCATTGCCAGCAAATCCTGGAAGTCACTATAACTCAATTCCGAGTTTGTCCGTGATTTCGTTTTACGAAAGCAGAGCGCATTCTGCAAACGTTTTAGGTTCAGTTATTTCATTGTTACAGTTCTCAATGATAACAATTAATTTTTTATCAGAATTCCTATATGGAAACAATCTGTGGTACACCAAGTTACCTCGCTACCAAAATGTTAATCCCGTAGCCTGAAGAACGATCCTACAAGAAATCGTGTGTTATATGTTTGGTATGCCATATACTTCAGTTTACTCAAATTCACGTAGTGAACACGATTTGTAATGAAGCTGGAGGTAGCTTAACCTCATTTCAAAATTGGAGTACGTCAATGAAAAGTTAACGTCTTTAGACTTTCCGGATCTTCTTTATTTCAAAGCAGGCAAATAACCCATTGGAGAAACAAGTCAAAGAAGGGTCGTATAAATTCCGAACAACCTCTGGAAGAATGTTAGCAGTGAAGCTAAGGATCTTATAACAAAACTGCTTACTGTTGGTCACAGAAAATGCATCACGGTTTCAGAAGCTCTGGAACATCCTTGGATGAAGGTGATGATGAAATTACTAACCGCCTTATAACACCCGCATCTAAGATTTTCAAAATCGGCTGACCTTTTCGTCTGAAGTCCCAGCTTTCGAATTGTTAGAATTAGTTTGGTTGAAGTTTAGAACTGATACAGCTATCCAGCATAAATAAAGTCAGTTTAGTTCAGGTTTCCTCCTGTAGTAACACTGGATCAATACGGGATGACCCCTACTGGACCTCCATGAAGGACAATTTAGAACTGATAGAACTATACGGTATAAATAAAATTAGTTCAGTTAGGAGAGAAAGCTTTAAAAGTGTTAGATTGATCCACGATTTAACAAGTTTTTGTCTTTGTAGGATAAAGAAATGATAGAAAAAGCAGAAAAAATGATAAAACCGACCGTGGATGGAAGATCAATGTCTCCGCCCTTATAAAAGGTATGTTGAAAACTACGATACTGTCCCGTTCTTCCGTCCAATGACCCTTATTTCAACTCGCAATTGCAATGAAACATTACATGTTGCAAGTTACATCGAAATTTAACCAGCTTTCCGAAACAATCTCAAGGCGCTGTTACACTACGCAACTTTCCTTGCAAATTGCAAAACCATTCTACTCCTGAGGCATCTAAAGTTGTCAAATACGAACATCTATTACGATCTGCTAACGTTTCCTTAGTATTTCGAACACTCTTTACAAATTAACATCCTTCGGAGTTATAATTGCATTGCAAGTTGTAAGGAAAATTGCATATTGTATAGTAGCGCCTTCAGTAAAGTTGAAAACTCACCGTGCAATGAAACATTGCATGTCGGCAAGTTAAAAGGCAGAAAATAACTGTCACCGTACATGGTGAAGACTGGCCGACGGTCACGTTCAGCAGACGAGGCTCTGCGAGCAAATAAAATACTCAGTGGCGTAGCCAGCACGACATTTAGCAGCATGACTGAAAATGCTTCATGTAAGATCACATCACTAGTTATTCCGATAAATAAAAGAACAGGGGCCGGTTGTTCGAAAGGTGGATAAGTCGCTATCCAACGGATAACTCACTATCCAACGGATAAGTTTTATCCAGCGTGTGATTTGGGTTGCACGAAGCTTGTATAACTTTATCCAGAGGAAAAAATCGCTATCTACCGGATAAATTTATCCAAGGTCCGGAGGTGGTTTAAATCCACTATCCAGTGGATAAATTCAAAGATACAAGGTAACACTGTAAACATTTATAAAATAGGACAAAAATGCAATATTCCTCTTACTGTGTTTCAACAAACTAATACACATCATGATGTATTCACTATATATTAAAAATGTTTCGAAGTGCAATTTGTCGCAGCAGCGTTTCACGTTGCCTACACATTCCGTTCGACCGGCGATTTTTTGGACATCCTCGCATTTAAACAGGTGGTAAATTTACTATACGCTTCTAATCAGTTTATAAACGCGAATATGCAAAGAAAGATTCAACCTATTCCAAGGAAACTTGCTAATATCTAAGTAATTTCATTCACGAACATTAAAATAGTGTTTCTAAATTTGCTATTGGACCGAAAGGCAAAGCGTTGCAAGGTCAAGGAATAAAATTGCAATGTGTTTAATTAATAAAATCACTATGATGTGAAGTGCAAAGTTCGAGCAAATCACTTGTTCAAGCCTTTCCATTCAGTAACTATACTCGAGAATTCGTAATGATTATGAATTCAATGTTGTAAATGCTTAGCAACAGCTGACGTTGTGGTACGAAATTTCAGAATAATACTGTTTCTTCTGGTAAATTTAACTATCTATTGGGTAGCTATCCACTTCACTATCCACGCTTCCTGCAACGCGTTTTATAATGGATAACTATCCAGATTTATCCGTTGGATAGGACTTATCCGTTGGATAAGTTATCCATCTTTCGAACAACCGGCCCCAGTTCCATACCTATACTTTTGTACGTGTGAAACTTTTCGCTTGATTTCTTTAATTGTGAGAATCCGACCGTGCAGCAAACATTGAAATAAAGCGATAACACTAAACTTGATTGTGATAGCCCTGAGTATATACCGCTATAATAGCTTTGTTCCTCATAATGATATGCTGGATTCCTCGTCCAGGTATAACTTCTAAAACACGCCTTATTTTACTTGTATTCCAATGCACCTAAGTTAGTAAAAAACCTGACAAACCCGCTGGTAGGGTGTAAAGAATTATTTCTAAATCAAAAACTCGCTCTTACATAAGCCACTTATTGAAAAATTTCGCTATATATTTCAGTCAGATGGATCTCTCAGTCATTTCTCATTCCTTAGTGAACAAATAGTATTTCAGTGAATTGCTAGAACATACCTGAAAAACAGCTATAAACTTCAATTCTCAAAGATATGTTGCGTACCATGTCTTTGGATGAATGCGGATGTAAAGCGCGGTTACAGTTGGTGATAGGACATTTCCACCAGCGAGTCTCTAATGAAATGAATAATTTGTTAAACAATTAATCTTAATCACACATTAAAAGTTATATATGACCGCATGGAAATGATGTGATGCATATAACGTGACAGGGTAATCTGTAGAAGCCTTGCTTATTAATCCAGCTAACCCTGACTAGTCCATTTATTTTGTAATGATCGAATTTTGCCCGTCGGAACTACAGGACACAGAATAGGTCTTCACCCACTAATTATAATCACGACGACTTTGAGTGAAATCGCTCCGACAAACATCTTTCTTGCCGAATGCATTTGGTCCTGGTTATTTTTCCGTGCAGACCAGGAAGCTGCCTCATTTAAGCGACCATGTCCTGTCGACTTATCCGCATTCCCAACACTTGTTGCTATTATCTGGGATGTTATGTGTCTTCAGTACGTGGGCCAATAATTAGTATCAATTATCTTCTGGCACCAAAACACCATCGAACAATCATCAACAAAAATGAAATGAAATGCATATAATTTGCCATACACGGCTCCTCCAGAATTGAAACCAGTCGAGGTACAGCGTTATTTCCATTGATTTTGTGAAATCTTTACTTGGGGGTTAACATCGAATTTTATCACATTCCCATATAGGGGAATTAATGAATAAAAAAATGTCCAATAGTCCTAATATGACATAATAATAAACTGAACATATACCATGTAGCCTGCAATATTTACCTTGCTTGGTATGTCAGTCCATCAAATCCATGTATGGCACAGCGATGGATGGAGGTGTAGTCAGTGATAAGAGAAAGGTAATAATTGTTAGCAACTCCTGGGTTGCCATACTTTATTTGATCTAAAATTGAAACACAAGGAACAAGTAAATTATTATATTATTGTCCAGGGTTGTGAGGCTATCAGCACTGTGATATCCCAGGTTCATGCGTACCGCTACCATGGGACAACATTCCTTAGCGAACAAATAGTATTTCAGTGAATTGCCAGAACATACCTGAAGAACTGCCATAAACTTCAATACTCAAAGATATTTTGCCGTACCAATTCGACTCTATATGCCATAGAATCTACAATTGAGATTACAAGAACATAACTATCACACAATTGAAACTATAATTGTATATGAATCACAAGGGCCTATACAGTATAGTAACAGCATGTATTTTGACTTCTATAACACAAGAATATACAGAACAAAATGCAGGTTGTTTTCTTTCATATTCACATAATACCCCCAACCCCTGACAGTTACATATATTGGTAAATGCAATTACATAATAGGAAAGGGAGAAAAAAAATCTATTTTTATAACACCAGTGAAATATTGTGTACGCATAATACTTAGCGCTATGACCCATGCTGTCATGCTTCCATCACCAGATATCATGAAATCATCTTGGTTTTTAATGTTGAAATTAATCCGTTTAATTTAAAAAGCACAAAAATACCACCAAAATATAGCTCGAAAATTTCTAATCAAGAAATTAATCAATATTGCTGTTAACCTGACACTGCAGTGCAGCTCTAAAAATCATATCAAATTACACAGGATTACAAAATGGAAATATAACTCGCCTTTGGAATTTCGTTATTTCTTCGTTATTTTTATCCTGTCGTCTTTTAACCGTTACATATAAACTGTAAAGGCATTAGTTATCTTTTCTGATAGGATTTAAGTCAGGATGGGCAGAAAAACTCGAAAAATATAGATTTTTTATTTGTTATTGTGTATAGCGAGGCGTTGCTCAGCCGCATGCACAAGTGGTTGTCGCGTGAGGTTAGAGGTGTCAAAAACGTAATGTTGCCTACCCCGTGGGGGTAAAATAAGCCCAGAAATCGATTTCTGGGTAAAATTGTCCCTAGAGGTCATAATTGTCAAATTTTCGCTAATATGGTGATAATTATATGCACATTTTCGGGTTTCCGTTTGTAAACACATTTGTTGGAAATCACTACAAATCGCCAAAGCAACTGTATTTCGAGTAAAATATATGAAAATATTGATCCCAATGTAAGCTACAAATATTTGGAGGTTTTAGGCGAGATTTTTGGAAGGCTTTGCGTATTTTTGCTTCTCTAACATTCAATTTAAAAAGTACAAGTTCTGCAATAAATATCTTGGCTTATAGGAAAGCTTTTGAAATGAACTAAAGTTATACAAATAGGTAAATGTTTTTTTTAAGATAATACAATTTCTGTTGAATTGATAAAACACTTCCAGATAAAACCGAAATTATCTGTGTGCGCCGTTTACGACCGGACAGCAATGAGTTTAGTGGTCTCATATTTATTAAAATGGGTGAATTATTCGCAGAGTAATCACAAGTTTAAATGAGCTTACCACTTTGAAATATCCTCTGATCGGACGTCTAACTGAGAGGATCCCTTAAACATCGAGAATACTTCATTAACAAGTGCCGCATTCTGTCCTGTTTGAGAAGGTACAAGAACTTCATCTTGGGTATTGGTTACTCTTTGCTCCGTTGGAAGTTCCATTCTGTTGTATGAGGACAACACTTGTAGTTGGTGTGATGAAAGGATGCAGATTGTCCGTTGGATGTTGTGCTTTGTATTTGAGACGGACCACATTAGATATCAGCGCGAAATTGACACATTCATGGGATTCGAACCCATGAACTCCTAAAAAGGAGTATCCGCAAAATGTGTTCTTTGTGTGGCCAGGAAAAAGAGAGAGCTACAGGGCTTCTCCCAAACCGACTGGCAGACAATACGAAACGTAGAGGACAAGACAGTACAACACAACACAAAACACACAACCGACGACACAACATCCAACAACCCACAACCCACTAACTCTGTAGCTGAAACGACAAAAAATATGGTGAGTTGTTCCTAGAAAATGAAGCATCACAATTAGCATGAAGGCAATTGCTGGCTGGGTTTAACTGACGGCATGGATATGGGGTGGCTTCTTAGGGTTGGATACCGAAACTAAACTACGATCGTCTTTGTCTGAAAAACACAAAAAAAAATTATTAGTAGCTCCCTAGAAAACGAAAAGCAAAACACAGTTAGACAAGCAGTGAGCCGTGTTTCCAGATACGGGGACAGAGAAGCTAACAGCGGGGCACGGGGTCTACTTCTATTTAAAAAATTAATTATACATACCTTGATCCTACCTAAAGAAAGAACTCACTTACCTGAGAAAAACGGTCGCAGACGGCTCTGTTTTATAGCCTGTAGGCTCTTGCATAATTCAGCAAAATTAAGACAACTTGATTGGTTATTTCTGTACACAGGTCAATTTGTCATTGGTCAATTTTTGTACTCCACGATTGGTTCAATAAAAACCAATCAGATTGGTTAATCTATATTCAAAATTTGATACCGTTTCTTTGATATTTGCAAGGTGATTGCACAACAAATGTTCGATTTCACACGTTTTGGAGCATATTCCAAGCCAATGTATCACAGTATGAGTGTATTTGTTCGATTATTTCTCTCATGAAGTTCACAAGAAATTACAGTTCAATCATTATTAAAAGGCTTTATTCCCCTACCAGCTTTAGAACCCCATCGAACAGGAAAGTCGGAATTTAAAAGGCAAGTAAATCTTTCAAACTGTTGTAGCACTTGAATTCTGTGGTACATTTAACTACTGAACCTTTCAGAATATTGTAGAATTGGGCATGGCATGGAATAATAGTAAATATAGCAAACTGACAAATTCGCAAATGTAGTAAATTTCAAGGCTAAATATTGCAAATTCCAGTGGAAATACGGCGTTTTACCGCCATGCATACATAGCTATTCACAGCTACGATATTCACGTGTTGTATATATTCAATATTACACATCAAAGCGGCCTAATTCTTTGGATATTGCCCAAATGCAAACGAAAACCGGTTGCAGTGGTTTAGCTCACATATTCAGGATTATTTTGATATCTTTAGCGTCAAAATCAAGCCTTTAGAAGATTTTTGCCCATTTTTTATATAAACATACCTGATGATATGAATTATCGCATCACCGGAAAAATATTTCACAATAATAAAAATTTCGGGCCAAAAGCCGAAAATCTGACCTAGGTCCGATTCGAGCTTGCCTTAAGCACGTGATTAGCAATGATTATCGCTTAGAACTTATAAAATGCTCTTTCTTTGATTATTTTGCACATACTACACCAAGAATTACTCAGAATTAAAACAGAATGATAACATGTCAAATTCTAGACATTTTGAAGACAACAGAGACCAAAAAAGCGAAAAAATATGGAATTTCCAAAATATATCTTGCAATGGGTGAGTAATTTCTGATAACAAAGCAAGCTATTATTTTAATTCTTGTTTTCACGTATAATACAAATGCAGGTTATAACTATATGCTGGTTGGAATATACTATTCAAAGAATCGTTTTAACCGCTATCGTTTACTGGTATTCCGGGGTCTTTAGCCCAAATACTTGCTGAGATATTTAATGTTTTTCTTCTGTGCGACAATATTGTCAGGAGTAATAGCCTAATAGGGACCAGACGGGAATTAGATATTGTATTAATAATGTAGGAAAAAAATATTCCCTGTGATATATCTTCATAGGAAAAAGTATCAAAACGGATTATTTTCAACATTAAAAAACCAAGATTATCTGATGATATCTGGTGATGGCAGGCATGACAGCATGGTTCTTAGTGCCAACTACTTCGCAGGGCCACGTGTTATGCCTACACCATATTTTGCTGTACAGTTCCATCATTCATTTTACACTGATGTTATATAAATTTTTTTTTATTCTCCCTTTCCTATTATGTAATTGCAGAACGAATATTCAATATATTAGTGTACCACATAAAAACTCATTATTACAATGGCTATCGGACGTCTATTGCATCGGAGATACGACTTGTGGTAAGCCAAATTCAATGTTATTTCTTGCGATTTTTCTATGATGTCTTACATTGTTTTTTTGTAAAGATTCTTCAATGTTTTCTCAGTCTGCGAGCTGACAACGTCAAGGCCTTGTGCAAGACAAAAGTGGAAAAGTCAAATTCACTTCGCATGTTAATTGTTCTGAAAGGAAAACGTTGGTTAATGATGATACTGCAAGGCATGTCAGCTATTCTGCTTCCAAAATTCCTTTTCTTGTTAGTGTAATACATTCTCATTTTTGTTTTAGTTCTGCAGAAGATAAGACAACCGGGATTGTTTCACTGCCTTACAGCGAGGCAGAATGTTATTCCTGTGTGCTTACAACAGGTAAACTTTTCTATCATAATATATCATCTGGCATTAAGTTTCGAATGAAGTTCAACTTTCTTCATTTTCTAGAAATTGGAATGGGAGGTGTTGGATGTTGTTATGAGAAACTTTCCGGAGGCACTGCAAGATAAAAACTTGATACATTCTCGAAAGCACTACTTACGTTCAATATGTACAGTGTTATCTAAAATGGTAAGGGATGTAAAGTTGTGCACTTTTCACACCAAAATCATGAACTAAAAATTTTACTTTGCATTCAGGTTTGAAATTATGATTTTCTTCCTGGATTATTTCGTGTTCCTCATGATATGCGCCGACCTCATTTGTACGCTAGAATTTTTCCAGTACGGTTCTTATCATTCAGTTTTTTGCATCTATCATAATATCTTACCATAACTATACCAAAACCATACCATACCATAACCATAACCATACCACATCATATCATATAATCATATCATACAATCATATCATACCATAACTAACCATAACCAAATCATACCATACGATAACCATATCATACCATACGGTACGATAACCATATAATCCCAAAATTATATCACACCATACCATACCATGACCAAATCATACCATACGATAACCATATCATACCATAATTATATCATACCATATCATACCATAACCAATTTATACCATAATTATATCATACTATACTAATGATTTAATTGGATATTTTATTGTAACATGTGCAGGTATTAACAGAGCTGTGTACGTACCACATTTTTATTGGGCAAGATGAACAGGTAAGAACCTGCTTCACTTTATTTTCAGCGGTTGTCTGTTCTCGCTTAAACGTTGTTGTATATTTCGTCTAGTTTTGTCTGATGCGTACTTTGGAGATTGGTTTGGTTGCTCATTCCACGACGTTAAGCGTATATTGTCTCACCATATGTATGTTAGAAATGCCTTCAGTTATGGCAAGGTATGGCTACTTAAGATTGTCTGGAATTTGAGACGTTTTTTATGTCCATTAGCACTTTGTAAAGAATGAAGTTGATTTAAGTAATTGCAGCGTTTTAGAAGTTTATTACTTTGGAGATATTTGAAATCGTGCCTTGATAATGTGCTCAGTGAATTTACAGAAATGTTTTTCAATAAACTCCAGCTAAATGTAACGTCTCTTGTTATGCGAGATACTCCTTCACAAGATTATTTGGGTAATAATTTCTAAATTTTCTGTCCTTAGGCTGCTCCCAACATATCTGGAAAAGTTTACTAAACTTTCGCCAACGCCTCAAGTTGTCATACCACTGTTAGAATTTCTCTCTGGTATGTTTCTTGAAGTTACGTAAATTAAGAAATCTTTTATGAAATATCAATGTACCCCCTAAGAGAGCTAGGTTGTATAAACACTCAATCGTATTCGACGAAAAGTTGCTAACATTCTTTTAAAACGTTTAAATAGCATTTCAAAGCTTCGTGATTAGTACAAAAACTTCACAGCGATCCATTTGAAACAAGTCATTGGAATATGTTTGCCTCACACAGCATCATCGAGGTTTGTTTAACGCGATAACATCTCAAACTTTTTATTATTGATTTGTGAAATTGAATAAAATATAAACGAACTGATATGTTTCACCTTAGATACTCTCAATACACGGTAACTCTTGCTGATAATGTCATTTCATCCTGGTTTGTCAACTGTCCACTGTTGTTAAGAAAACAATTCGTGCCATTGATTACAAAAGTAAGTCCACATGTCATTCTATGGCCACGGAGATTGCTTGCTAAATTTTCAATAGATATTAAGAAGTGGTGTTTAAACTTTATACAGCTTAGGCAGTGTTGTTACATAAACTTGTCCATTTCATGTTACATAATTTTGCTTATATGCAAGCTCGTTTTCAATCATTTGTCCTTGTATTCCTTTAGAGTCTTAACAACGCAGATATATCTTCAGATGCTGCAAACCCATACCCTTAGTCACTAATCCCCCACCAAATTCCATTCACTCCCAAACTCCCTTGAGAAATCAAAGGAAGACTCAAGCAACACACTTAGTTCAGAGATGATGGAAATCGTGGGTGATATGATGGTCAAATATACATTTTCTTTTATTTGACCCAACCAAAAAGGTCTGTATGTTGGTTTCGTATTTTTCTGCACTGTGTTTCAGGGAAGATGACTATTTTGTTGTTTTTATAGAACTGCAGTTGTTTAATGACTCCTGCGCAATGGAGCGTCAAGAAGTTGGTTGCTTGGCAATGTGTTGATCACGGTTACAGTCAACAAGCGGGCAACTTCGAACATGTCATGCGCATATTGTTCGGCAGGAAAAGTGTTTGTGTGAGATGATTCACTGCAGAAGGGCACGGAGCCTGAGGTTTTAAAAGTTGAGCTTAAGAGAAACAAAAACGAGGCCTCAATTAGTCAGGTAAGGAAAATTCTTTCAGTATCATTGTTTAAATTGGCATACACTGTCTGCCCAGCGTATTCATGCTTAAACAACAAAATATATTTGCAAGAGCGACCAAGTTTTAATATTCTTCTAGTGAAAGCTCTTAGGAACGTATTTGACATTTCCATTGATAACGACAGTAATATCGTGTGTTTGAACGTTAAAGCTAAACTCAGGGATATTCTAAACAATACAAATCATGGCCCTAGAGTTATTTCCGATAAAAACCTGTCGAAGTTGGTTCGTCATATTGCAATGCATGTTAAATAAATTTGGTCAGTAACTTAGGGTAATTTAAATGTCCGGATGTGATATTGACGGTATACGAATGTTTTTCTTTTTAAGATTGCGTCAGTTATTCACCAAAATCAGAAGAAAACTACAGATACCTAGGCTGTAATTGGTTACAAAGAATACGTCAGATCAAAGGATTCGAGCTAGAGTTTCTCATGCGGTACCGGAACAATGTAGGTCGCTAGACTTAAGGAAAGACGCTCGTAATATAATAGATTTTACAAAATATATCCTTTGGTAATTCTTATGAGTTGCAATAAAACCTTTACAACTGTTCATCCTTCACTGATGAGCTCAGAATGTTTCGTTATCACGTGGTCAATGCACGACTCTTGCCCTGGAGGAGGAACCCAATCCGGATATAAATGACTTTTTTATCTAAAGTACTTCACGGAAAGGCCTTCAGTTGAAATATGAAGAAAGTCGGGCTGATGTTTCAAAGATTTTATGACGCGAAGTTGAATCTTGGTTCATCGTTTCTTCAACGAAACGGGCACTGATAAGACTTCACAGATAAGATATCACAGTAGAAGCCAGTGCTCTTTCGCTGTAGCTTGCCTAGCGGCACAGAGGTCTCAACAGATGGTAGGAAATGACAACAGAGAGCGAACATGATAAAATTTTTATGAAT